TAACTTAAACTGCAGTGATTCACTTAACAGCTATGGCAGGAAAGGTTGTGGAAGCTCCATCACTGGAGGTTTTTAAGAAGAGACAGGATAGCCATTATCTGGAAAGGCATAGGGCCTCCTGCTTGAGGAGGGGGCTGGACTAGAAGACCTCCAAGGTCCCTTCCAACTCTGTTATTGCATATTCTATTCTTTATTCATCGCTGGAGGTTTTTAAGGAGAGACTGGGCAGCTACTTATCTGGAATGGTCCAGATTAGAATCTTCTGCTTGAGCTAGACTAGAAGGCTTCCAAGATCCCTTCCAGCTCTAATCTGATTCTAATCCCGGTCATAAAATGGGGCAAAACTCAATTTAGCAAATGTCTCGCTTAGCAACAGAAATGTTGGGCCCGATTGTGATCATAAGACGAGGACTACCTGTATTTTCTTCCCCCTGTTTTGCTGATTTGTCCCGGGACTGCCTCCCCTGTTCAGTGTTTCTATGCAGAATATTTAGTAAGGCAAGAAGTCCATGGGACACCTGGAAGAAGCATTAGGGATTAAGCATGAGGTGGGTTATTCTCCCCCTAGAGCCAAGTGGGAGGTAAGGCAACTCCCCTGTCAGCCTCCCCCTCCCCCCCGCTGTTCAGCTTGCCTCCCCACTACCTATTCATTCTCTAATTAGGTAACACCCCACTTTTTTTTCTTGCAGAATGCAACTGTACTACTCCTGAAACACCACCGGTGTTTTTCCTCCTGGATTCAGCAGCTTCCTTCCTTACCAAGGAGGCAAATCTGTTTCTGGGTTAGGTGCTGAGGCCAGAATGAAGGCCAACTTCTCGAGAGCCGTGGTGGTTAGACTGCGGTATTGCAGGTTAATTCTGATGACTGCCAGCAGTTCGATTCTCACCAGCTCAAAGTGGTATCAACCGTCCCATTGACATACGCAGAACCGTCCCACTGACATATTCAGAGGGAAAAAAACAACTTCTGGGACATAATTTTACCAAGAGTATCACTTTACTGTTAGATCCATATAGGCACGGAAGAAGCAAAGCCAATTCTAAAGGTTCCCACAGAAAGTGCCATAGGCAAATTCCCCCTTTCGGCCATCCACCATCCATTGTCCACCAATCCAATGCATTCTTTGTGTTTTGGGAAACAGTCTGTGTCATTTGAAGCTCTCATAACAGGACCTTGAAGCATAGGAACTTTTTCAGACTTAGCTGGCTTGCTTGGCTCCCTCAGCCCTCCCCCACAACTCCCCCAAGGATTCTACCCCT